AAGGCCAGGAAGCGATACATCTTCCCAAAAGGCAGGTCTCACCAGCCTAAGTTATTTCATGGCAAGATGCAGTGGCAGCAGCTGCCACAGCACAGAAGTGAAAATGCTGGCTCACAAGACATATGAAATCTCTACCACTGAGGAGAGTCCACACCTTCAGTGTAGCAGTTGGGTGCCAGAAACACAAGGTTCAAAGGGAAAATGGAAACTAAGGTGTTCTAAATATAATGAATGGGAAAGAAAAGCATTTCTAATAAGGTATGACTACAGTTGTCATCATTGACAATTTTTAAATTTTGCAAGAAGGGAGCAATGTCTCAAATATAACTCAGAAGAAAGGAAACAATTTGCACAGATATGACATTCATTTCTTGGTAGGAGATACCTCCCAGCTAAGTTTAAATGCAACATTGACTCTGGGCGTGACTACTTGGCATTTTGGTGGTGCTGGTGGCTTTGCTAAGAGCCATTCCAGTGCAGTGGTAGGGGTGAAAGCCCAACTGAAAAGAATTCAGGAGAGAACAGGACTCTGAGATAGTAAAGACAAACTTTCTCTACTGGTTCCAATACTAATTTCTAGTAGGAAGGAAAACAGAGTATTCTGGCACACAAGTAAATAAGTTAGTAAATTTGGCAATGAGAAGTAAGGTACTTTTTATCAGGTTACATCTCTTTTATCAGATTACACCTATTTTTTTCAATGAAATATGAAACAAGGTCATCAGCTGAAGAGTCAAGAGTGAGGCNCTGGCCCTCATGTGGGATCCGAACTGGGGCCCTGCTGCTCAGAGCTGGCGTCCCAAGCCAGCTCTTAACCAACGCGTCACTCGACCGGCCCTCTTCCTTAGATGTTTGATAGCATCCTCTTGATACTGTCCCATAAGTCACTGAGGCTCCCTTCATTTTTTTCAGTCATTTTTCCTCAGTGTGACTGCTTTCTACTGTTATATATTTAAGTTCACTGATTGTTTTTCCAGTGTCTAATCTGCTGTTAACTCTACATAGTTAATTTTTCATATCAGATATATTTCCAGCTCTAAAAGCTCCATTTAGTTCTTTTTTATATCTTCCATTTCTCTTGTTAATATGTTCATGTTTTCCTTTCAACACATGAATGTAATTGTAATAACCATTTAACATTCTTATCTGCTATTATAATTCTATCATATGCCAACTGAGTCTGACTGACTGATTTTTCTCCTGGTTAGAAGTCAAATTTTCTGCTTCTTGGCTGTCTAGTACTTCTAAAAAAATTAAATGCTGAACACTGTGAACGTTATACTGAATGTCTGGATTTTGTTGTCTTCCTTAGAATGTGGGGCTTTGTTTTGGCAGGTTATTGAGTTACTTGCAGATCAGCTTTTAGAGCATTGTTGGGGGGGGGTGCTTGAAATAGCCTTTACACCAAAGATAATTTAGCCCTCTACTAAGTTTTGACCCTTCTATTGGCCTGGGTTATTGATGAGGACTCAATTTCAAATGTCAGAACTTGATGTATCCCAGCCCTGTGTGAGTGCTATAGGAATTACTCAGCTAAATGCTTCCTGCTGGTTCTTTGCCCAGACTCAAGGAGCTTTATACTACACATATGTAACTTAACATTCAACAAAGATTCAACTCAAGGAAAACCCTATAGACGTCCTTAGCTTTCTGTCTGCCTAGTTCCTTCCTCTGTGGAACTCTGCCTTGTTATTTCTATTTCTTCTCAGACTCACTAAACTCTCATTTCTGCCTTCTCAATTTAATGAGACCATTATCTCCCACACTGTTCCACTATCCCAAATGTGCCTCCAAGCAAAATCTCAGAGATCACAGGGTTTAACTTATTTGTTTCCCTTCTCTCAATGATCTTGGTCTTGTGCTGCTATTGTCCAATGTTTGAAAACACTGTTTCATATATTTTGTCTAGTTTTTTACAGCAAAAGACTAAGTCTGGTCCCCATTAGTCCATCACAGCTAGAAACAGAAGCTCTTTACATAATTTTCAGCAATTTGTTTTTTTTTTACATAAATTAACATTATTCCAGATCAGTACAGTTATATTTGCCACTTTCCCTTAAACCCAGAATAGTATTTCAGAGTATGGATACTAAAAAACTGTCCTCAATGTTTTAAATAACAATAATGAAGCTAATAATCTGTACATATCTCCTTGTTCATATGTACAAATATTTTTGCATTTCCACTTTCTTAAGTTCAGATAAGCTTTCAACAAAATAGATATTATCCATTATGTGTCTCACCCCACCCCCTCTCCACTCCACAACTGACTGGGAAAATATTTTGTTGATAGTAGTTAAGAATTTACTGTATAAAATTTTACTTGAAAAAAAATTTCAAGTAAAATTTATTTACTTGAATACAAATTCAAGAGGAAGATTTATTAGTATCAGATAGCAAATCTTCTACTTCTTTCCTTACTTTTGCAAAGGATTTTAATCCATTTGTCAGTGAGTTAGGCGAGTTCTCAGGTTTAATTAATTAAGATTGTCCTCTCTACTAACGATTTTATTATTTTTAACTTTGTCTTAAATATTCTTATTGAATCTGTCGTCTTTTGCTGTAAGCTTTCCCAAATTTGTTCTTAAATAACAGGAGTATAAAAAAATAAACACTGAAAAGGCATTTTCTTAATACACTACATTCTTTAAAATGTGAAATAATAGCACATAGCCACGTGGGCGCATCGCAAGCGGCAGTGGAGACACTGACGTCTCGAGCCCACGGGGCAGGGGCGGGAAGGAATGGGGGACACCACAGTGACAGCCCCAGCAGGGACCACGGCGGCCGACAACCCCCCCCTCCCCGGCGTGGTCGCCCATGAGATTGGCTGGGGCATCACCGCAGGCCTTGACCCCGAAATGGCACTGCTGGCAGAACACCTGCTGAAGCCTCTCCCCAGGGACAAGCAGATCGAGACCGGGCCCTTCCTTGAGGCGGTGTCCCACCTGCTGCCTTTCTTCGACTGCCTTGGGTCCGTAGTGTTTACTCTCATCAAGTTGGACATAAGTAGGAACATCATGAAAATCAAAGCTGTGTATGACACCAACCCGGCCACGTTCCAGACCCTGCAGGACATCTTAAAGGCAGAGAAGGAAACGTATGGAGCAGAGTGGCCCAAAGTGGGCGCCACGCTGGCACTGATGTGGCTGAAAAGAGGCCTCCGCTTCATTCAGGTCTTGCTCCAGAGCATCTGTGATGGAGAGCGGGATGTGAACCACCCCGACCACATCCGCGTCAATGCCACCAAGGCCTACAAGATGGCCCTCAAGAAGTACCATGGCTGGACTATGCAGAAGATCTTCTGGGCAGCGCTGTACACGGCACCCAGTAAGTCCAACTTCCTGAAAGCACTCTCCACGGGCCAGAATGTGACAGAGGAGGAGTGCCTGGAGAAGATCCGCCTCTTCCTGGTAAACTACACCGCCACCATTGACGTCATCTACGAGATATACACCAATCTGAATGCTGAGCTCAGCTACAAGGTGTTAGGCGTACCCAGTGGTGGGCACGCCCAGGCCACCACCCCTGACATGCGGTCACTCTGTATTAACAGACAAACCTGAATCACTGTGAATCAAGCTGGCAACCCCCCTGCGGGCCCAGAGTCTCACCAGGGTCCGCAGGAGTCAGCTACAGGGTTTTAAAAGTCATTTTGAGAGTCTGCCCTAACGGAGCAATAAATAATGATCCCACTTCCGAATCGCCTTTGAATTTAACAGCAGCACAGACTGGCTTAATTTCATTGTGGTAAAACTCAATTAATGCTGCTAATAAATCAAGTCCTAGGGTTTTTTTGTCCCCACTCCCACCCCCACCGTGGAGCATGATTCTGGGGGACCCATGTCATATACCTCTCTTTAAAAATAAGCACTGTGTCCTGAGGATCTGGCTCAGTGATGTTTTGGGTATTTTAAGTACCATGAAAAGTGTGATTTTAAATTATACAAGACCCCTATTGTGGGATTTTTTAAGAAAGCAGCCTGGCGTGTGTTCTCATGTGGTTGCACCACCAGCCTGACAGCACTATAATTATAGATCCTGCTCTTTCTTACGATATTTACCCAGTTTTGTTTCATACCTGAAAACAACCAGCAAGTCTTTGATGACCATGACCAAGGGGACTTTATTTTAAAAGTATCAGGCACAAATAATTGACCAGAGATGACTGTATTTGCATTCTTCTGCGTAATTTTCTTCACGGGCAGCTTTTCCAACCTAAGAAACTACCTATTGTATATTCTCTCAAGAGGGAGACAATAAACCCTTCCAGAGGCTGAGGCCGAAGGAAACACACAGCTGCCTTAACTGTCCTTCTTGGCACTAAAAAGAGCTATATTTTTTAAAGTGTTGGGGTGAACAGAGGAACCCCCAAAGAGTAGATGTGTGTTAAAAATACACATCATGAGGAACAACTGGTGGTTTTTATGAAGAAACGAAAAAATTCTTAATCTCTATTTTGGAATCACAAAAAAAATGTGAAATAACACCACTAGTAGAAAATTTTATTGTGTTCTTTAAAAAGGCTTAGGTTTGTAGTATACAAAATTTGGATCAAAGAGATATTTTAATTTTTCAAAAATCTGCATTTGCAAATTCAGGAAAGGAATTAAAAATACTATTCTAATGTAAAAATTATTTTAATTCATCAATCACTTGTGTTTATAGCATTATTCAAAAAAACTTAAATTCATTGGCTCTTACAGTCATAAGAACTCATATTCAGAGATCAAAATTCCACCTAATGTAAGAATCTCTTCTACAAAAGCTTCTGCCCAAACACTTAGTGACTGATAATCTCATACTTCATATTCCATTGCTGGAAGTTCTTAAAGCCTAACAACCTGCTTTAAAATACTATGATTATATTTCTATGTACTTCATCATTCAAAAGTAAAACATTTTTTGTTCTTCCACATGCCAACTATAGGAATTATTCAGTGTTTAAAAAGGCTCACATTTAGATTAAAATTAATAAGAAAAAAGCTTTTTCCCCTCACCTGATTACAAGTATCAGATAAAGAGTGTATAGCTTCGGAGAACATACTTGCTGAACCCGTATAAATCCAAGCAAGAAATTTAAAGAAGCAATTTAATCCATTGCTAGGAGAGAAAGAGAAAACAATTTAGCATTGGTTTGGACAAAAATTTTCACCAAAAGCTTATTTAATTGACCATATATACCTCTGTACTATATTCTGTTAAAAGTAAATTAAAAAGAATCCCTTGCCTCAAGAACTTATGTTTTAGGTTAAAAGAGTACAAATTTGAAAAATACAGATTATGGTATCATTAAATACTCAAATGAGGCATGATGTATGTAAGCAAAGTAAGTGCATTTTGTGGATTGATGAGAAAAGAGGGCATTCTACATTTGGACAAAAGGAAGTAAGAAAGGAAATTGTATGTCGTAGGTAGGTAAAAGAAGATCTGTACTCGATATTGTCCAGTAGACCAGTGTCAAATTTGGTGAAAGTCTGTTTACTGAAATAGGCAGATGCCAGAGGTGAAGACAAATCTAGACCAAGTAGTCTCTGGGTCATACTAGAAAACCATTGATGCTAAAATAAATAAGATTAGCTCTGAGCAAGCCAGTTGCTCCAATTCTAACAGTAATAACTAGTATGATTTATCTCAAGCACTATACTAGTCATTTACCATGTTTTATTATAACTGTTATATAAATATTAACAAGTATTAACATCCTCATTTTATAAATGAGGAAACTGTACTCCCCTTCCAGCTACCCTTTTTACCCCTTACCCCCTCCTCCATTTCAGATGTCTTGAATGAAATCATATCTGCTCTTGCTGTCTGTTTTCCTCACTTTGTACTGTCTTCAATACACTAAACAATGGCTTCTCCCTCCAATACCTCATTAGATTGTTCTTATCAATACCACCAGCCGTTTCTTGCTATTGAGTTCCTAGAAATATTTTGGTATTTTCCTTAATCTCAGAGAAGCATTTGCCACTATTTTCTTAAAACACCGTCTTCCTTGGCTTCCACTGACGCTCTGGTTTTCTTCCTTCCTTGCTCCTTATTTTTCCTCAGTCTCCTCTGCAAGCTCTTTTCCTTCCACCCATTTATTAAATGTTAGCATTTTTCCAAGTTTTACTGAGGGCTTTCTCTTCCTCACACAATATGCGTTCTCCACATGATCTTAACTATGCCTATGGCTTTAATTACCATATATACACTAATCTCTCTCAGCTCTAAATCTCTACTCCACATCTCCCTCCTAAGCTTCACATCAATATATAGTAACATTATTTATGAAGTACATATTATGTACCAGGTACTATACTAACCAGCTTACATACCTTCCACGCATTCCTCTGATAAAGAAAACTTTTAATTGCTAACCCCAGTTTTACTGACAAAAAAAATGACTCCTGTTGACCAATTCCACTTGGGTGCCTACAAGAAACTCAAAATCAAAAATGAACTCATCATTTCCTTTGCTCCCACCCTGCCCTTCCTTCCAGTGTTCCTTCTCTCGGTGATGGTGCAACATCTATCCAATTGTCCAGAAACCTAGGCAACATCCTTTTCCATACCTCCTAAATACTTGTTGAACCTAAAGTGTTTTGCCATCCCTCCTACCACTGTCCTACTTTAGTGCATCATCATCTCTTTTCTGTATTATTGTAAATGGCTTCCTCTAGTCTAGTGCCCCTCCAATCCTTGAAGATAAGAATTTTGTACTTCCAGACACTATTACAATTTCTGATATGTAATATATATATTTTGGAAATAAAAAACTAATGAATCATGGAATTAATGCTTTTAAACATTTTAAAATAAATTATTTTTAAGAATGGATAAAAGGCAAACAAAACAACATGAATTAAAACGATAGAGGGGAAAAGATGGCAAAAACATAAATTATGTTCTACCAGGTAAGTGAAGAAAAAATAACAGTGCAGATACACTTCAGTAGCTATAACCCAGGTTGGTTATGCTAAAAATGACCATGACTAATTCAACTTTTTAAAAAAGACTTCTATCAACTACAATGAAAATAAGACAGAATTTTCAGATAGCAACTGTTCTTAGATCTTAATTGTATCAAAAATCCGTATATTCAACACAAGCATGGTTATCCATGTGGCTTCTACCCCCATCAATTTACTGACAAAAACAGACTTATTCAGCTTCCTCCTACAACAATATAAATCTCTCTTTTTTAAATACCAAGTAATACATTTATATATTTCTGGAATATACACATAAAATAATATATTTCTATTTTTAAAGGTTTATTTTTTAGTACTTACATGCAAATGGCAACCATCACCACTTTTCCTGGCCCCTTAAAAAAAACTGATGTCATTCTGGAGCGGGGCTATAAAAAAAATAAAAATTTTTTTAATCTCTGACATTTCCCAGAGAAGCATTGTAACCTTATAAGTGACTCTTAACACACCAGAAAATATCTCCTGTATCAATCAATACCTCTAAACAACTAGGTTTACTTATTTCTTTTTCTCCAGAATTTCCTCTAATAAGTGGGTAGATGGAAATTCAAAGCGCATCTGGGTCCTTTTCCAGAACCTTAATTGTTTATTTTGTTTCCCTGTAATTCATCTCTTGCCTAGTTCCAGAAAGGATCTGAGTTGGTTCCTGTACATAAAAACTAGGGATAAAGTGATACAAATGTATTGAATTAAAATCGACTCCAAATTTTTGCTTTCCTTCAGCAACGTTTTAACTTTTAAACAAGGAACAACCAAAGCCAACAAGTTTACTGCTCTAATTTAACTTCTGACTGTTTTCTAAAGACCCAAGACCTCAAGTGATAATCGTGTTTAATTCCAAAACAGACTGAAATAAAATAGGTAGAGAAACATTCAGGGAAAATATTTTTCTTGAGTTAAATGTTCTTTTGCTGTTCCTTGAATATATAATTTCTGTATTTTTTTTCTCCTGCTCTGTCCTCTCCCTGGAATGCTATCATCTTCCACCGTAATCTGTCCAAGTTTTACCCATCCTCTTCCATGTCTGGCTGAGCATCAACTTGGTACGTAAATCCCCTTCCAGCTACCCTTTCCCCCCGCTCCTCTATTTCTATTAAAGCACTTTATATATTTTGCCTTATGTTATTTATTCAAGAAATATTTATTGTGCAGCTACTATATGCCTAGCACAGTTCTAGATGCTGAGATATGCTGAGGCATGACAGTAAATAAAACAGAGTCCCTTCATTCACAAATCTCAGTCTAGTACAGAAGATAGATAATAAATCCATAAACAAATACATAATATCAGATAGTGATAAATATAATAAAGTAAAACATAAAACTGAGAGAATAATGGGGGGCAGATGTATGGTGGAATGGATAATTTTAGCTAGAGTAGTCAGGGAAAGAAGCTCAATGATAAGAAGGAGGCAACCATGAAAAAATCTGGAAGAATGTTTCAGGCAGAATATATATATATATATATATCACATTCAAAACTCTGAAACAGAAATAAGTTTGGTGTACAGAAAGGACAAAAATAAGGCCGCTGTGGCTAAAGCACAGACAGAAGGGAAATGGTAGGAATTGAGGCCAGAGGAAGAGGCAGGGGCCATATTCCACAGGACTTCACAAACTATGTATGGTAAGGAGTATAAATCTTATTCCAATGGCAAAAAGAAGCCACTGGATGATTTCAGGCATATCCTTGACACAGTGTGATTTATGTTTTGAAAAAGATACAGTTTATGACGTAGAGAATGAATTATGGGGCAAAGGCAGAGAGCTCAATCAGGAGGGTATCAAGGTAAGAAATGGTGATGGTTTAGACTACGGTTTCGATAAGGCACATGGTGAGAAGCAGTCATACTAGGTATCTGTTTGGAAAAAATGTCAGTGAGACTTACTTGCTAATGGATTTCAATTAAAAAGGGGCCTATAATAACTCTCTAACATTTAAAGGGTAAGGAAAAAAGCAGGGTCTTTTACAAAGCCAACGGAGAAGGAAGAAGAATGAAGAGAAAAACTAGGACAAAGGTTGTCTTGGGCTTCTAGAGAACAAGGTGTTCCAAGAAAAAGGAATACTTGGTACTGGTGGTGGGCAATTGGCTCCCTTATTGTAAACTATAAATGCTGATCATGGCTCTAGATTTCTGAGTTCTATTGTTTACTGATAAACACAAATCAGAATGTGAGTGTTTTATTATAATGAGAATATGCCATATCCTTAGGTTGAGTAGAGAAAAAAAAACTCACTGAAATTATTATAGGAACAGCATAAATGAATACCAAATAAATGAAAGCATCAGGCTTAAAGTGGAAGGTGACAAACACTTCTTTAGAAGAAAGGTCTGAGAATTTATAGGATAAACAAGACAGGGGAGGGAAATGAGATCTTTAAAATCAGAATAGAATGTTTTAATAAGAAAAAGGATTCACTGAGCTCAAATTGCTCTAATAAAGAAGGCTGTAGAAGAGGTGAAAATATATTGGTGGTAACTAAGTCAGAAACAGTGACAAAGTCCAAGGAAATTTAGCAGCAAGAGAAGCAAAATCTGGAAAAGCAAGAGATCACAAGGAGAGGAGATTCACAACCCTCTAGGGAAAGCATCCGGTTACACTGACAAATAAATTCCACAATAAAAGCAACTGGAAAACTACCCCTTAAAGTCAGAATGCCCAAGATGTTAGCAATTAGCGAAACTGGACAATGAGCATATCAAATATCCACTTTTTCTATTTTTGTATATATTTGAAAATTTTCACAATAAACAAGTTTTTTTAGTACTGAAACAAAAATAGAAAATTTGGATAGATTTCAGAGGACTACTAGGACAATCAGCATAAAATACTCAAAGCACTACTGATACATTTCAAAGTGATACTATCATTGCAAGTAGAGATAAACATACTTCCAATGCTCTGAAGAACTATCCCAAGAAATTCACAGAACTAAGATTCTAAGGGAAGGCAAAGTGCAGTGTAAAT